GGGGGGGGGGGCGTTGGGGTTCCCCCTACAATTTTTTTAGGCCCAAAGAGTCTGATATAAATTGCCGGGGAGAAACTGAACGCTGGATTTTTTAAACAATTGTTTCTGTGGACTGTCAAATGTTAAAAAGAAAAAAGTAAATATTTAAGGGGGTAATCATTGAGGTGCCAAAGGCTGCCAGAGTGTATAACTGACCCAAAGTGACGGAAACGAACTAAAAAAATGTTTTGCCAGCGCACATGTCTATACGATAGTATAGGAAATTCCTATGTCAGCACCATCTAGGAGCACTGTGTGAACGATGTACGCCTGGCTATCTGTCAGGCACAAATTTTATAAATAAAGCCGGTAGTGTTCAGATGGAGGGTACGTTTGTGATACTACATAATGACATTTCCAGCATATAATCCATCTTGGAAAAAAAGGCAAAAGAAAATGAGGCCCAGTCATGAAAATATCTAACAATACTTATTTCCCAAAACATCAGTATTGGCATCACTAGAAATGAATATTCAGAGGTAAAACTGAATTATAGGCTTCTCTGTAAATGAGATTGGACTCACGTAATATTAGATTACTCATAACAGTAATGCAGCTTTGTACTGGCAATCTGGTGTCAGCACATTTCCTGGGCATTTACGTTCCCTGTTGACTGAGTGTTTTGTTTCTGCTTTGCTGCACTGCATAAAAAGAAAAACAACTGTCTATTATTTACTTATCTGTAGCTGCAAACCTGGTGAATGCAGTGCGCTTGTCAATTCAGCAAGCACCATTTTTACTGGAAGATAGTGACATATAGTCCACATTGTCATGTTACATAGATATAGATTTTTTCTATCGGGTTTAAATAGCAAAACAGAGAGATGTATACTGTTCAGTAGCCTAGTTGTATGCAGTATATTGTATAACAGTGCCAAGGGAATAAGAAAAATTCAATGTGTGCTAAATAATAGTAAATGGTAAGGATTAGATTGCATCCGTTAAGTCTGACTTGTAATGAGAGTTGTATAATATTGCTATCAGTCTGGAATAGAAAATTACCTAACTGTCCAGTGTAATCTCACTGTAATTTCTGCCCAGTAGTCTGTTCTACTCCACAGATTTATATTGTAGAAACTACTGGTAGAATTCCTAGGCATTTCACTGTATGCTTTAAAAATTCTATATGGTATGATTTTTTTTTGGTCGTTTCAACCAGTTGGAAATGTACTTAAATTATCATTGATCTTCATAAATATACTAATCACAGTACTTCAGAGGAAATTATGTGAATTAACCCAGCTGTATTGTGTCTTATTAATAATTGTGTTTCTCAAGCTTTTCTCAGAAAAATGTGCTGTCCAAAGCAATTAATGGAAATATTTTAAATCATGTTTAAAATGTTCATTTCTTGCTTAGATTACATTAAACACCTACTCTTTACTTTTTATACCCTGAACGTTTGCCTGTTTGACTACAGCCTTGCCTGCCAATTTTTTCCAAGCCTTGTTTCTACCTGCTGCCAGCTCTGACCATTCCAAGTGTAACCAAAGGTCACTACCTGGGAGCCATCTACAGCAAAGCCCATCATACCTTACAGGGTGCTCTAGTGAACAATGGGCAGTTCTTTAGAACCCTATGCTTAGGCCCTTTTTAGGGCCTGCATTTGATGCCAACGCAGATGGTCCACTACCTCCTTTAGCGGAACTTCACACACAGGAAATTTGTTAATTTTGGCTGAGATTTCTCCGCTCTTCTCAGTAATGGTAGTGATTACCCTAGGTAACACTTCTAATGGAAGGACATTTACATGTAATTAAATGCAATTAAGGCTATTTGTGTTTCTCTCAAAATTCTAATAAGCCAGGGCTATTTTACACCTAAGTATTCAGGTTTACCACTTAAGCCCAAAGTTGAAAATATCTATATTTAGTTTTTTCCATTTAAAGCTATCACATACTGTATAGTATACAACTGATTTAATAGTCCATACACAGTATACTGTATGTTCCATATGTATGTGGTATATGTTGCAGGGTCTTCCTGATTCTGCTTCTGATTGTGTTGGTCCGTTGTTTGGTGGACTGTTGCCTCCAGTGTTGGATGAAGAGAAGAAGAAGACCCTCCAGGAAAATGGTCACTGTTGTCACATTGAGCAGCTTGGATTCCTTACTGGGTAAAAATGAAAAACAATTGTGGACTGATCTAACTAAGTGCACAACACATGTATTAGCAGGAGGAGAAAATATGTATACAATAGGTTTGCAGATAAGGATAAATAATTAAATGTAGATACCTACAGCAGTAATTATATTAGTGCATTAACTAGTACACTCAATTCATTAATTAGTTAAAATCCATGAATTATACACTTGATGTACAGTAGATGGTGCACACAATCTTTAACATCTATCATTTGTGTGGAAAAATAAAAGCAGTTTTTCTTTCTTATAGGAAAAGAAACTTCAGAGCATTCTAATTTTCAGACATGGACTTCAAATGAAACTTCAGGGGCCCCATTTTGTGCTGTTAATCTTGGGGGACTAGAGTCTGGAGCTCCTCCTTCCTATGAAGAACTGTTTTCTACAAACAAAGCGCAGCTGGCATTGTGACCACCACTAGTTTAGCAGAAATGAATGTAGCTGGGTGACGAGCGTGTTAAGTTTCAGAAGCGGTCAGTCCATGTCTCTATCTGCCCTAGTGTCAGGGATTTGTAATCACTTCTTGTGGAACTGGATTCAGTAAAGGAAAGGTTTGGCCTGAGCTGTTGAGCTGAGCAGGTATTTCATTATGGGGATCAAAAGAACTGGGGAACGGTGCCAAATGCTGATTGTCTTTACTTACTCACTTTACTTCACCAAACCTTATTTGGTGGATGTCGTGTTTAAAGGTGAACAATGGTTATTTTATTAAATCATGATTATTCAGTGAAGCACCACAAAGAGCAATTATGAATCTACAGCTCATCACCTACCTAGATTTCAGCCAGACAAGAAATTCAGGTTGCAATGGTTACTGCACATTGAACATTGCTTTTTGCTTTATTCAAAAGACCCACTGTGTGCTTAAGACTAAGAAATGATGTCTATACTTGTAATTACATCATCTCAGCATTCACATCAATTGGAAAGAAGGTATACTCCTTCATGCCTAATATACAGAAATGTTGGTGAGAATTTTATTTGTGCATTAAGTGGTCAATACATTTTAGTAGTTAACTGTAAGAAGACACTAATAAACCTGAACAGGTAGCTATTAGCCAAACTATAAATGTGAATAAAAGATGTGATCGTTCTTACTTGGTGTATTGTCATCTTAAGCAAAAAAAAACTTCTTTGCTGCACTGCACCATTTTGTTCTCTCTATTCTGCTTATCAGCCTCAACACACACACACACACAACATTTTTAGATTGTCAAAAGTAAGTATGGTAATAAATGTCATTGGTTAATTCTTGCATACTAATGAGCACAGCGCGGCTATTAATATTGATTATAAAAAAAGATGTGACACCGTGGTGTGCAAACTAAACCATTGTCACTTCAGTGTAAGTAATGAAGCAATTATGAATTCAACGACAATTTGTGAAGGAGAAAGTGCCTAAAAGAAAACAAAGTCATGATTCTCCATATCACTGAATTTCTCATTTATTAAAATACAAAGTACCAGTACACAGTGCACAAATTTGTAGTGTTTATGCTATGTGGTAAGGCTTGGCTGCCAAACACTCATCTTTAAAGTATATTTCAAGAAAAAACATCTTAAACCAACTTCTGTCTCTTTAAAAAATGCTAAAAGTGTAGAAAAATGCCAGTAGATACTGTAAAAAATCAAGTGTGCCCCTAACTTCCTGTACTGTATGCTTTGCTGAAATCCCAAGCACTGTTATTATCCCAGCACAGTTCACTGCTGGGGACAAAACTGCTCCCTCCTATGTTATAGCAATAAAGAGAGGGGAAGTTGTTCTGTAGTCCCAACACACTTCCTGTCCTAGGCTGCTAACGCTGTTCTTCCACAGATGCAATTGTATTAATGGCAGGATCACCACATGAAAATGAAGAGAAATAGCACTGAACAAAAAAAGAAAACAAATGCTGCTACAACATCTAAGGGCTCATAAACAGGGATTTCTATTTTGGGCACCTGAAGGCACAAATGGAAATCTGCTTAGCCTAAGCCTTACCTACTGTGTGATCCGCTGGCTTTTACATATGCAGACACAGGGTAAGGACCCCGGCGTCGCGTAAGGCTGCCCTAAACACCTGTCTTACACAGCGCCGTGTCCTTTCCCTGCGTTTGCGGAAGGCGGCAGTTTCTGTAGGTGTCGCTGGTCTTGGAGCAGCAGGGTTATTAGGAAAGGAGCGAAGTCCCCCTGTGTGCTGGATTGGATAGTAGGGAACAATACCAGGAGAGTACAGGCTGAGGTACAAGATAGGATGATCCAAAATGTGTTGTCAGAGTACAGTCCAGGTCGAGGCAGGCTGCGAGTATCATAAATGGTGAGAAAAGCCAGGGGTCGATAACCAGGAGATCCAAATAGCAGGGAAGGAAGGCAGGAAACAGGAAATCAGGCATCGTAGCTGCTTTGGGAATGGCAGAATAACTCAGCAACAAGTCTTGGCTCTGGCTGGAATTTAAACCCAGCAGAGGCCAGCGACGCCCCCATTGCCTGGGCAAAAATGAAGCCACAGGTCCCTGGGAACCAATGGGACGTGAAGGAGTGCTTGCAAGGCCCTCCCTGGCAATGACCAGCACCCGAAGCGACTAAGAAGCCATGGCAGCTCCACATGCGCACGCTACGCATGTGCTCATGTGCGCTCCCACAGCCTGCCACCAGACACCAAATCACCCCAAAAAGGATCCTACAATCTCCGCAGTACCCGCCAAGCCCCAGGTAAGAGGGCACCCCTGGTCCCACGAGAAGGGTATATTTTGTGCAGAATGCACCCTCCTTGCTATTGCTGGTGTTGTATCTTGACATAACACTGGGAATTAGGTAGAATAGGTACCTGCACAGTGCCCCTCTGTGGAGGGGGCCTATAGGCACATGCCTACTCTGCCTAATGGTAAATCCAGGCTCTGCTCGTAAACTGCAATATATTACATATTTGTTCTTTTGGGTGGGATACAATTTAGCATTTTGGCTTTGTTGGTTGGTGGATTTGCTGGTTTTCAAATATGATGTATATGATAAACCCTTTTAAGTGTTATTAAAGATCAAAACAAAAATGGCAACCACTCTAATCAAGATATAACTAGCTTTTTTACAGCACACAATACTAAAATTTGCCAGTACGCATATTAGCTAGCAAGCAAAAAAAGAAAAAAATCTACACTGTTTCAACAATTTGCATTAACCTCTTCCCAACCAATGATGGGATTATCCCATCACCATCATTCAGTTCAGTTCGTTAACAACTGGTGATGGCATAATCCCGTCATGTGGTACAATGAGCACTGGTCCATGAAGGGACCAGCAGCTCATTGAGTTACTACTGTTAATGTATTGCAGTCCCTGTAAATGAAAAAATAACCCCGTAGTGCAAATAAGTTAAAAAATAAATAAAGAAAATGTAAAAAGAAAAAAGTAAAAAAAAGTAAAAAACTAAAATATGTTTAATAAAACAATTATAAGAAAATATAGTGTCGAGGAGACTTTTAGAGATAAAAGACAAACATACCACATTCTAAAATTGTTCCACACTAAAATTGTATTTCACTCCTTGTATTTGTTGACCTATAACTCCCAAGACATATGATATACCCCATAAATCAGGACAAATATAAGGAATTATAATAAATTACTTTCTGTTAGCTACACTAATTATGTACACATTGTCATTGCCCAAAAAAAAAATTTCCCCCCCACTTTTTTTATTTTTTAGAAAGCAATAAGAATTTCTATATGCATATGTCACATCAACTTAACCCCCATTTTGTCCTTTAAAAAACAGTATATATGAAATATACAGTATATACAGTATATATATATATATAT